TAGGTATCTGGGTCTTCAGTGATGTTTCTAGTCCTCCAGGCCCGTGCTTCTCAAGTCATATCAGGCAGCTCCCCTCATTGATTATAGATTTAAGCACCTTACATGTCTTTTTTTTTTTCCACTAGCGTAAGTCACTTCTGCCAATTCCAGTGTCCATATAAACCACATGATTATCATAATCTATAATAATAAAAGGGTAATATGCTAATTAGACTGGATGTCTTCCAGACGTCCTTCCTGACACAGCCAGAGCCGGAGGGAAGCCGGTGCCAGCAGCTGGGGGAAGGCAGGCCTACTCTTGCATGAATTTTCATGCATCGGGCCTCTAGTATTAGATAATTTGGTTTCCTGAATTCCTTGACTTCTTATTTCCAGTGAGTTTTCATCCTATTTTAGACTTGATCAGTAACTATATCACCTCTCAGATTTCAAATTCAAGCATCCTGTTCTCTCACCTCTACTACTACTCTCTTCCCAGCTCATTCCTCTCATTTTCCTAAGTCAAACAGTTTTGGGACAACTGTCAGGACCTCCAGCCCACTGAAGTGAAACTTCTTTCTTGTCCATCATTCATCATATTCTCGTGTTTCTTAATCTAACTTAGATTCCATGTCCTGTTCTAATCATTCCCTTTGAACTCATCATATTTTACTTAATTAAAGCCAACACTCTACCTACTTTGTACCTATACAGCTTGGAGGAAATAACACTATTCTGACTAGTTTCATTTTTAATACTCATGACCACAGATCCTGAATGCTTCCTGCAGTTGTAGTAGATTCACTCTATTCACCTTCAACCTTGACAAGCCCTTCCTTTTGCGTTGATGATGTTTATTATTTTGCTAAAACAAAAAACAAAGCAAAATAAACAGAAAATAGAACTTGATACTTATCAGCAAATCTACAAACCTGAAAAGCAATTCTAGGGAGCAGAAACCAACTTTTCAAGGACTAAAATGTGACTGGGTCACAGAGACTATAGATACTGTGTCCCCGGAACACTGTCTCTGTTAAAAAGGTTTAGTGTCTTAAGTAATTTGAGAAATGCCAGAAGTTGTGTACAGTATATATATGGAAAGGAAGTTCCCATCTGCTGGCTGAGATTTTTCTAAAGCATTAGTTTGGCCTATTTCACAATCACTTGGAGGGCTTGCTACTTCCAGAGGTTCTGATTTCATAGATCTCCTTGGCTCCTGAAAATTTACATTACAACAAGTTTTTAAGTGACTCAGATGCTGCCAGTCTAGGGAATTAAGGAATTCCATTTTGAAAGCCACTTCACTTAAGAACTCCATTGCCAAGAGTGGCAGATAAGGTTTAGGATTTTGAGCAACCTAGAAAATAGCCTTTGTGGGGTAATGTAGCTAGAAATAAGAGCTAAGAATGTGAAGAAGCTCTGTTAGTGATGCAGCATTAATTTGTAGTGGACCCAAGTAGTTAGTTTGAATGATTTTCCCTAGCAGTTTGGCCTGTCTGAGAGAAGGAGCAGAACTATCAGCAGTTAAAGAATTTTGCACAAATCCTACTTGTTGCTCATGTCAAATATCTATAAGTTTACCATCAAGCACTCCATTTTGCTTTGTATTCCCATGATGAGTGCCAAGACAGTAACTTTATCATCTGTCTTCAATCCATCTTTTTAAAAAAATATATTTGTTATTGTTGATAGTATTCTAGATATCTTCCATTCCCCTTCCCTTTTACCCCCCTTTTCCCTGCTTCAATCCATCTTTTTAAAATGTGTTTGTTATTTATTATTCATTAACTAGAGGCCCGGTACACGAATTCGTGCTCCAGTGGGGTCCCTCAGCCTGGCCTGCAGGATCAGCTGAAACCAGCTCTCCGACATCCCCTGAGGGGTCCTGAATTGCAAGAGGGCGCAGGCTAGGCCAAGGGATCCCACCGATGCACAGTCTGGGCTGGGGAGGGACACAGGAGGTTGGCCAGCTGGGGAGGGACCATGGGAGGGCTCCAGGACATGTCCGGTCCATCTCGCTCAATCCCAATCGGCAGGACCCCAACAGCAAGCTAACCTACTGGTTGGAGCGTCTGCCATCTGGTGGTCATTGCACGTCATAGTGAGCGGTTGAGTGGCCTTAGCATATCATTAGCATATTATGCTTTGATTGGTTGAACATGCGACCGGACACTTAGCATATTAGGCATTTATTATATAGGATTGTTCTTAGTTTAAAAATTTGTATGTGTTGCCCTAACCAGTTTGGCTCAGTGGATAGAGTGTCGGCCTGTGGGCTGAAAGGTCCCAGGTTTGATTCCAGCCAAGGGCATGTACCTTGGTTACGGGCACATCCCCAGTAGGAGGTGTGCAGGAGGCAGCTGATCGATGTTTCTCTCTCATCGATGTTTCTAACTCTCTATCCCTCTCCCTTCCTCTCTGTAAAAAATCAATAAAATACATTAAAAAAAATTTGTATGTGGTAGTTAACAGGGGTTTTGGAGTGTAAAGTCTAAATGTTTATGTTATTTAGTATCCTGAACTAATTCTGTCAGTTATGGTTAATAATTCTTTGGGCAAATGACTACCATATCTCTTGTTTTCTTGTTTGGGAATTTTTAAAATAGAAAAATTAGCCTGGCTAGTGTTGCTCAGTGGTTGAGTGTCGACCCATTAACCAAGAGGTCACTGGTTTGATTCCTGGTCAGAGCACATGCCTAGGTTTCAGGCTTGATCCCCAAAAGGGTGTGTGGAGGAGGTGCTGATCAATAATGTTTCTCTTTCATCTATGTTTCTAGCTCTCTATCCCTCTTCCTTCTTCTCTCTCTAAAAATCAATGGAAATATTTTTTTAAAAAAAATAGAAGATTTAGAAACTTCCCATTTTCCCGTTTTGAATGTAACTGTAAGGTCACAGAATCTTTTAAAATTACATTTTGGGAGAATTATTAGTCAGTTTTCTGGCTAAGGATAGTCTCTTGTGGTTCTTTTTAAGTAGCTAAATATTTATTGCAGAAGCTGGGTCACTACAGGGTTTATAGCATTTCTGGCAGTAAGTTACATTACCATTCCTGGGTGTCTGCACTTTTCTGGCTTTGCCTCTTAAATGTTTTTATAATGAGATTTCGTCTTAGCCCAGGCCTTGCAGTGACGTGTCAGCTTTTCTGCCTTAATGAGGTTATAGTAGTATCTGTACTGAGGGAGCCACAAGAAATGTTTTGAAACATGGTTGGTATATGATAGGAAAAAGGGTGAGTCTTTTTTCCTGTTCTTCCTTACCCCACTTCAGTGAGCAGGTAAGATTGAGAAAGATGCTGCATTTCCTTCTCTGATTTCTCAAATTTCTGTCAAGCTTTTGAAGCTAGATACTGTGTTCTTTTCGCAGTATTAAAATTGGTTATTCTTTAAAATAATACAATTTTGGAAACTTGTGGACTTGTTTTTTATAGCTTTATTGAGGAATAATTAATTACAAGAACTTGTACTTATTTCCAGTGTCTAATTTGAAGAGTTTTGACATATATGAAGCCATGACTACAATGATAAGATAGCATACATTTTCATCATTTCCAAGGGTTTTTTTGTGTCCCTTTGTAATGTATCCATTTGATCTGCTTTCCAGCACTATAGATAAGTTTACATTTTCTAAAAATTTAAATGAATAGAATCATACAGTATGTACTTTTGGGGGTGGATGTCTGACTTCTGTCAATCAGCATAATTATCTTGAGGTTTATTTATGTAGTTGTTTGTATCAGTAGTTCTTTTTACTACTGATGAGTCTCCTATTTGGATATTCCAAAATTTATCTATTTACCTGTTGATGTATATATGGGTTATTTTTCTTACAGTTTGGAGGTATTATCAACAAGCTGTTGTGGACATTTGTGTACAGATCTGTGTGTGGACATGTGCTTTTATTTTTCTTGGATAGAGACTTAGTAAGGGATTGCAGGGCCATATAGTAGGTGTATGTTTAACTTTTAAGAGATTGCCAGCTTTCTCAAAGTGGTTGTACCATTTTACATTCTTGAGAGTTCCTACTGTTCCACATTCTCACTAATACAAGATATGGTCAATCTTTTTATTTTTAGCCATTCTAGTAGTATCTGTGTAGTGGGATCTCAGTGTTTCTTAATTTGCATTTTCCATATGACTAATGATGTGCTGCATTTTGGTAAAGTGGTTATAAAATTTTCTGCCCATTCTTTTAAACAATTTTTTGTCTTATTATAATTGAGTTTCAAGAAAATTTTTGTATTTTCTGGATTCAGGTTTCTTCAAGTTCTTACATGTTCTGCAAATACTTTTTATGAGTTGGTAGTGTGCCTTTTCATATATTAGTTTTTTGAAGAGCAACTTAATTTTGATGAAGACTACTTTATCAAATTTTCTTCATTGTTTTCTTTATGCTCTTGTGTCCTATTTGAGTTCTTCATCATATCATTTCTTTGATTTGTCTAAAAAGGTAAATAGCTCAGATGCTCATTTTTTAGCCATTAGGAAGGGGGAAAAAAGCATAGGAGGCAACTATACAGCTAGAGTTATATCTGCCTTATATTTCTGTTGTTGTTATACTTTACTAGCAAATTGTTTATGATTCTAGTAATTTTTGTTTGTTCTTTTTGGTTGATTTTTGAACCTATCAAGGATTTGTGAAATTGCTATGGGTCTAGTTTACTCTGTTTTATGGAGTGAGGTAACTGAGGTTCATAAAGGGTACATGGCTTTGCTAAGGGCTTATAGTCTTGATCGTTTGAACACCAAAAAATCCCAGGTCCTCTCCAATCCCATTTCACTATTTGTTTCCCTATGAAGTGCTGTTCTTTATGATGCTGTTCCTAGGATTTTACTGTATACTGTAACAATAAATTTAGTTCATTTGTTGCCTCTTCATTTCTCATTGTAATAAATATTCTCATTGAAAGCAGTATTATTACAATTAAGTAGGTTAGTTTTTTGAGAGATCATAATTTTCCCTTTACATTTCATTAAGTGAAGATGTTGATTTATAACACTTTTTTTTTTTAATTCTTTCCAAAGGTCTGTAAACAGATTTGGCTAGGATTATTTGATGATAGATCTTCAGCAATTCCAGACTTCAGGGATCCACAAAAAGTGAAAGAGTTCCTACAAGAAAAATATGAAAAGAAAAGATGGTGAGTGAATAGTTTGTATTTAGAGCGAAGGTTTCCCAAATTACATTAATTATGGGTAAGATTAGTCTGACATAAGGAAGGAAAGACGGGAGGGAGAGCGGGATGAAGGAAGGAAATAGGCAGGTTAGGTAGATAGGAAATAAAGGAATAGGTAGGTAGGTAGGTAGATAGATAGATACCCATTATACTTTGGCTTTTTATTGGATTTGGTTTCCAAAAACCTTTACTTCTACTTTATCTTAACTCAGCAGCCTGTTCCTTGTAATTACCAGGCCTCCTCCCCTTTTTTTGAAAGTTAGGGATCCTTCCTTTGAATTCTTCTGTAGCCCTGTTAACTTCCTTAGATACTTTTAGTCTTATAAAGCCCCTTTTCTTAAAATCTTTATTCATTTAGCAGGTATTTATTTAGATTCTTTTATATATAAGCACTATGCTAAAGCTCTCATGTAGTCCACTCACAATCCATCCACTTAACTGCATCTTGCAGTAAGTCTTTGCTCAAAATATCCCTACTTCCCATCCAAGAAATCATTTTACTACCTGGTTAAGAAGGGAGCCTTTATACTCCCCTCACTCTATCAGATGGTAAATTTTAAAATTAAATAAAATAGGTTGGACATGTGGCTAGTAAGCCCTTTAAAGCAGAGCAGGGTGGAGCTAGAGTTTAACTACTTTGTGCTCTTAATTTTTAGCTATATGAGCACAACGTAAGTCAATTTATTAAGACTCATTAATGATGAATTCTTAGTTTCTTTAGCAATATTCAGTAGTGTATATTTCCTTACTGGTGGGGCTAAGAAGATGAATGAGAGAGTGACAAATGAAATAGATAATGAAGAGATAAATGGCTTGTTGTTTTCTGAGGAGCTGTATGTTAACCCAGAGAATGATATGGTCAAGAGCCTGTTTTGGTCCTGAGGGAACACTTGCTGTGGTTTTTAAGTGAAGTGTCTCTACCTGTATTCATTGAGCACATTAGAAAGAAGTAACTATGATTTTAGTGCTCTGCGAACTTTGTATTCTTACTGTTCTTTTGAGGAGACTGTGTTTTGCAAGGCAATATTAGCCTGGGCTATATTCAGCAGCACTAGATACCATTAGGTGTGAATGTAGGTAAAATATACCAGTAACAATTAGTTGGGGAAAATTTTAGAAGGTGGGGTGACAGTGAAAGCATGGTGTCATGAATGATTCTTTTAAAGTGATATATATAATTATGTTTTTATCACTTTAGTTAATTTCCTAGACCTTCCACCCCATAACGTATTCTTCCTATATAGCCCTGGCCTAATTTGTTTTTTTCTCAGCAGTTTTACCAATTCAGAATATTAGTTTGAATAGGACTTAGCTGGAATTGGAGATCATTTACCTTCAGTTAGCAAGAGAATTTTGTGTGAATAAGAGTCAATAGAAATAAAACCATGTATTTCCCCAAATTTATTATAATAATAATAATTGTAAACGGTAATGAAATTTACCCCTTCAAAACATAATCCAAGTAACTGTAAACCTCAAATAATTATAATTTGTGTTATTCTTTTTTTCTGCCCTGAGAAACAGGATAGTAGTAACAAGATTAACAATGAATGAGAATTTTAATTGGTGGGTGGGAAGGGGGAGTGACCATTCAGGTGGGCCAGGGGCTGTGCATTTTAAAGCCATGCTCCTGCACACCTGTGACATGTAACTAGAGAACAGTGCAGTTGGTTTTTAATAAGGCATAAGAACTCTCCAAATGCAGACTTCCTAAAAATCCCTACTTTGAGCAACTATTCTTAAAACAATGAGACTATTGTCATCTAAAGGGATTTTAAATTGTTCTTTTGATCAATTTTCAAACTTCCTATGTTATACGTTTAGCTTATTACTTTTAGTCAGATGAGTCTTTTGAACTAAGTGCTAGTATTTGGTTTTATCCTTTGATAAGATGTGGCTGTACTCAAAGTTGATATCATCAGTGGTTTGCCAAATTATAGGAAAGCGTAACTTCCCCTATTTATTGTCATATTCCATCATCTCCCATTTACTGGAAAAAGCAAAGCAGTTTTATTGTTTGTGATTAATGTGTAATTTGATAGTAGCTAACACAATGTAGCTAATACTTGTACCAGGAACTGTTCTAAGTACTTTACAAATGTTAACTCGTTTATGCTTCACAGCAACGGTATCTTCACTTTATAGATGAGAAATCCTAGGCACAAAGAGTTGAAGTGGTTTGCCTTAGTTTTCACAGTTGTTGAGTAGTGGAGCTGGGATTTGAACTGTCTCTGGAATAGATATGTGCTCTTAACCGTTTTGTTTTTCTGCTTTCTCCACCTACCTGAAAAGAGGATTGGGGAGGAAGGAGAAAATCCAGATATACAAGGAGTGAAAAAGCTCTCACATATTCCTAACCCTAGAGATCAGCATTGCCGATATTTGGGCATTATATTCTTACTGCCTTTCTTTTCTTTCTTTACTCCCTTCCTCCCATGAATCTATATTTACATGACTGGGATCAAACCTGAAAGACCATAAAGTAACCTGGACATCTATCTGTGTCAAAAGAATAGCTGTGTAGTATTACATTAAAAGATTTAAGAGTTCTGTGGTAACATACATGTACATGTATCTGTGTACACTCATTCAGTTAGTTCCTAAGGATGAGTTTCTGCAGAGGTACTTCTGGGGCACAGAGCATACCTACTTACGTATTTTAATAGCAGCAAAATTTGTAATGTTTACACTCACATCAAATGCTAATGAATTAGGTTAAAAGTGTTTTCATTTCTATGTTTCCCTTTGTGAGTTGCTTCTGCCCATTTAAAAATTGGGCTGTTGACCTTATTCTTAGAGATTTGTAATAAGCCTTTATATTTTAGACTGTTAACTGGAATGTTTCCCTTCTTTTGGTTCTGTTTCCAAATGTTACTTATGATCTTACAATACTTGAGATTTTAAAAATTAAATTATAGTATTAACTATTCATCATGATTGGTCTGCTGTCTTATAAAAAAGCAGTTAATTTTTTTATCTTAGAAAAACTAAGTAAACTCCAAGAGAGTTTTCAAAAAATTTATTTATTGACTTTTAGGAAGGAAAGTAGGAAGGGAGAGTGAGCGAGAAAGAGAAACATCAATTTTTGTTCCATTTATTTATATATTCATTTGTTGATTCTTGTATGTGCCTTGACTGGAGATTGAACTCACAACCTTGGTGCACCGGGATGATGCTCTAACTGAGCTACCAAGACAGGGCCCCAGAGGGATTTGAAATAAGATTAATATCAACATTCATGCAAAATTAGAATTTTGCTTATCATTTTTGAGTATGACATTTCCTATATTTTTCTTAATTAACTACCTGTTCAACTTTTCATGTGTTTTAGGTATGTCCCACCAGAACAAGCCAAAGTAGTGGCATCTGTTCATGCATCTATTTCAGGCTCCTCTGCCAGTAGCACAAGCAGCACACCTGAGGTCAAACCACTGAAATCTCTTTTAGGAGATTCAGCAGCAGCCCTGCACCTAAATAAGGGCACACCTAGTCAGGTGAGTAGTTGTTAAGTCTTTGTAGAATGTAGAGGCTTCTACTTGAGGACTGAATGGCATGAATTTGAGACTTTTTAAAGACAGTAGCATAACCTTGTATGCCAGTAGCATTATGTGCCAGTGGTTTATAATACATTTAAGCATTGTTGGTTAAGTGGTTGGAAGGTGTATTTATTTGCTCTTTTGCTGTTGCTAATATGAGTTTCTTTGAATTCTCCACAGCTTTGTGAAGGTTTACAGGAATATTGCTATAGCTATCTGTTATATAACATACATTATAAAACATGAATCTGTGGTAACCATCAGAGTCAGAACAATATAGCCTCTGTGATGTACTTTTATAGAAAAGGATTTCTCAAGCAGTGTAATCCCCCCTCCCCCCCCATGCCCGAGTTGTAAAGCACAGGTGTCTTTGCATTGCAGTATATATCTTATTCTAAAAAACTGAATAGACTGAAAGTTTTTGATAAGTTGGTACCTAAAGTTTGTACTTCTGCACTTCATTACAGTTGACTGAGCTGTGACAAATCTGTTACTGTGTGACATTACAGCATCTACCCTACAAGAATGATTCTGAGGCATGGTACTATTTGAATTAAATCCCACTCTTTTAATAATGCATACTAAGGCATTTGGATAAATTGCTCTATTTTTACAGAAAGTTTGAGTGAAAAATGGAGAGAGGGATTAAGCCAGTATTTTGTAACTCTTCTTATGTATAAAGGATGTATTCTTTGAAAGTCTTATCGCTGTCTTAGCAGTAAGTCCATCCTTTCTCATGAGGTGTGACCACTATTATAATTGTGTTTCTTTGCTTTTGACTCTGTAATTAAAATTGAGAGATAATTTGGGAATAGATAGTGAAAATTGGTGCTTTTTAAAAAATATCAAAGTACCAAAACCACAAATAGAAGACTGTAATTTTTAAACTGTGTTTTAAGCTTGATTAGTTGGAAATAGTGTGGTAAAAATTGAGCAGATCTGACTGGAAACGCTTTATAGCTAATATGTGGTTTATAGTCCCCTGTTGTAGGTCGCTCTCAAGGACAGCAGCAAGAAAAGAAGTTTGACCTTTTAAGTGATCTTGGCTCAGACATATTTGCTGCTCCAGCTTCTCAGTCATCAGCTACAGCCAATTTTGCTAACTTTGCACATTTCAACAGTCATGCAGGTAAGTGTTTTTTCCCCAGGAACTTTTATTAGAGATGTGTATAAAATACCAAAAACAACCTTTTTTGTTTATTTGTTTGTTTTGTTAATCCTCACCTGAGGATATTTTTCCTTTTTTTAAAAATTTTCTGTTTGCTTGTTTTGTTTTGTTTTTCTTTTAGGGTGAGTGGAAGGGAGGGAGGAGGGTAGGGGGAAAGAGACACATCTATTGGTTGCCTCCTGTATGTGCCCAACCAAGGCTGGGGATGGAATCTGCAACCAGGTATGTGCCCTTGACCAGGAATCAAATCCATAGCCCTTTGGTGCTTGGGATGATGACACTCTAACCACTTAGCCACACTGGCTAGTGCAATAACCTTTTTGTTTGTTTGTTTACATATTCTGTTGAGAATGTCTGGTCATTCATACCTGTTGGGGTGTATAAATCATGTAGCCCTAGCAGTTGCTTTTTAATCACAAAAGAGACTATACTTAATGTCAGGTATTGACATGACCTCTTTCCATAGAAAACTGGGGAAAGACTATTAAATATTTGTTAACCCTTTGATAGGGACAATTTCTGATATTCAGAAATGATCATAATATAACCTTCATGTACTCATCACTTACGGCTAATCTGGTGTTATTTCTCATTCTAGTCCATTTCTTCTCAAGTTACTTTGAAGCAAATTTAGACATACTAATTTATTCTTAAATACCTATTTTATATGTATCTGTAAAATAAGATTTCCTTTGTCAAACATAATGCTGGTAGTATTACCACTCCCTAAATAATAATAATAACAATAATAATCCTATACTAATGAAAGACAAACATACAAATTGACCATACTTTTGCTATGCCTTAAGCCACGCCCACAGCCAATCAGAGCAACTATATGCAAATTAACCCAACCAAGATGGCAGCCGGCAGCCACGGAGCTGGAGTGAGCAAGAGGCTTGCTTGCTCCAGTGATGGAGGAAGCCAGCCTGCCGCGGCCTGCTTTGAGTGACACTTACCCTCTCTAGACACTCTACCAGGAGGAAATGATATAAAAGCGGTTGCCAGGTGGCTCCTGACAACTGGCGCGAATGTCAGCTGGACACATCCGGATCCTAGGACAGCAAGGGCATCCCAGCCGAAAGCATCCTGGCCCCCCCTCTCCCCTTGGGATGGGCGCCAGACACAGGGCTCACAGCTGGCAAATGCAGCTGTGGCGGTGCAAGCCTCTCCTGATTGGGACTGACTGGGTGCGAGCCTGCGGCATGTGTAGCGGGGCCAGGATGAGCGGGAGCAGCAGGCATGAGTGGCAGGCGGTGTTGGACTGTGGGTTTTGGCCCGATCCCCGCAGGCCACCCCGAATAGCAACGCCGGGCTTCCTCTCCCTAGTGACTAGCCTCCTTGGAGTTTCTTCAGCCCAGGAACACTACTTGCTTTATAGCCAGGTGGAAACATTTTACACTGTAACCAAATGTCTGTGAAGCGTTTTCCCCTGCCTCATCTCATTTGATCCTCACAGAAGTCCTGGAATAGGTAGATAGGAGACTCAGTGGAATCCTATTTTTTTATTAGCCAGAAAACGGAGATTTAGAAAGTTTATAAACTTGACCCGACTGAAAAGAAGTAAGAAATGGTGGACCTTGAAAATGACTTCAGGTTTTCTCACTGTGCAGAATATAGTCTAACACTGCTGCAGTTAAATACTTTACCCTTGTTCTCCCTGCATGATCTACAATAATAATGTGCTTCATGTTGATATTTACTGCTGTGTTGCTGACAATTACCTGTAAGGGAAGATGGAGTGCCTCACTGGGCTGGAAAAAGTTTAGCTAACTCAGATAGCAGGTCTAATTAAGCAAGTTTGTTCTATATCTATAAAGGCTATCTCATGCGCGATACATATAAAGCTCTCACTGGCACCAATCACACGTGTGTTTCCACCTGTAATTGTCTATTGTGAATTTGGTTGACACTTACAGAGAAGGGCGAATAGTGGTACTAAAATATTTCTTCTAATTTCCTTTCAATGTGCATGAATTCGTGCACCGGGTCACTAGTAATAATAATGCATTAGTATTCAAATTTCCATTCCAGTTCAAACACACACATACACAGTTTTTTCAGATCAGGTTTCAAGGTCTGCACATTGCAATTGTGAGATATGTCTCTTAGTCTATAGGTTCTTCCTCCATCCCCCATTTTTTTTTTTTTTTGTAATTTGTTTAGGAAATTAGGTTATTTGTCCTGTTGAGTTTTAGGCAGTCTGAGTGTGTTGATTGTACCACTCTGGGGTCCTTTATCAGGTTTCTGTCTTCTGTATTTTCTGTAAATTGATAGATACATGATCTGTTACCGGTTCTTTTTATTTATATTTTTTATTATTTTTAAAAATATATATTTTTATTGATTTCAGAAAAGAAGGGAGGAGAGAGATTGAAACATCAATGATGAGAGAATCATTGATCGGCTGCCTCCTGCACACCCACTACTGTGTATTGAGCCCACAACCAGGCATGTGCCCTTGACTCAAATCGAACCTGGGACCCTTCAGTCTGCATGCCAATGCTCTATCTACTGAGCCAAACCAGCTAGGGCCCGGTTCTTTTTTAGAGCAGGGTAGTGGTGGACGGGGAAAACCTGATACTTAGGGTTTAAGAGACACATAATATTGATTGCCTAATTTGGTAATATTAGCTCTTGGTGCCCAATACTGGGATCTATTATACAAAGTTGTGATATCCTAAATTTATCATTCCGTTATCAGCTGAAGTACTTCTTTAAAAAATTTTATCTTCCACAGAAATATGCATGCAGTTAGAAACAATTTACATATGGAATTTAATAGTTATTAAATAAACATATCATAAAACCTATGAACTATAAACTGTAATTAAATTTTGTCACAGCTTATACCAGAGGTGTCAAACTCAATTAACTTGCTCTACCCAGTTAAACACAAATGAATAATACAGTACAATGTGTAAGAAACCATGGTGCCCTTTTTAAAGGGGGATGTTCTAATCTCCTGTTGCCACACGGAAATAGAGGTTCAGGATTACTAATATGTTAATTTTCTTTTAAGAAAAGCCAGCAATCATATTTAAAGTAAAATGTTCTCTTTTGAAATGTTGGAAATTGATGGAAAAAATTTAAATTTTTTCTTAGGTGAAACAAAGTGTATCCTGCCAGCTGAATATGATGAGGGCTGTTCAATTCCATCTCATCCTTTCTCATGAGTACCTGTTTCTCATTGAAAAGGAAACACAGCTCTCAGCAAGATTCAGGCTCATTTACTTGTTACCTTAAATTTTAAACTTAGTCGACCTCTTTGGACATTTTGAAATAAGATTATTTAAAACATATCTTTACTGTTTTGTCACATTCTTTTTAGTTTGGATTTCTTTGTTTGGAGATTGCTTAAGGCTCCAGATAGTAATTTTTACATCATTAAATTTATTAGAGCTTAATTACCAAAGTCAAGTTTACCAAAGTTTTATTCCACAGTACTTAGAAATTTTAAAAGTCATTATAACCAGTTGCTGAAGACTGAATAGATACAGGGTCTACAAATAAAAACAGATAGAAATTTCACAAAGAATTAATGTGTTTGGTGCTCTGGTTGGAAAACACTGGGAAAATGTAAGTGTGGATGAAGTAGACTTGACTTAACTAAATGCATTGTATTGAACTGATTTTTTTCCTAATGATGTTTGAAACATTAAATATATATTTTCCCCTTTTTAAGTTCTAAATATAAGCCTAGAATATATATTAAACAGTATATATTCATATATGTTTGAGGTTATAAAGGATAAACTACCTTCGGGACCTAATTTCTATTTCTACAAGGGACAGATATGTTTCATTTGTTCTCAAATGTATAATTAAATTATTTTAAAAACTTAGAAGTTTACCTTTTGGAATATAGCCCATTCTAAATTTGAGAATTTTCTCTACCATGTTCTCTATTCGTTTGGTTTATATTTGCATTATCTATATGTATATTATATATTTTGCCCTTATAAACTTATTTGGCCTTTTAATAGGAATTTTTTTTTTTTGCGGGTGGGGGGGGTATTTCAAAACTCTTTAAGAATTTCTGTTGTCTCATAAATTGTAGAATCATAATGCAGGATTTGTAAGTGGAGACCATCTAGTGAATCCTCTCATTTTGCTAATAAAACTGGTAGAGCCAGAACAATTGAGGGACTTGTCTAAGACTTTATAGTTACTTATGTTAGGATGGAATTCTCTGATTTTTATCTCAGACTCCCTTTGCACTAAATTGTACTTGCTTACTTACTGTTCTTAGCAATACTAAATGGTAACTTTGTTTAAACTTGTATTATATTTGTTACTTAAACTGTATAGGTATTCCAAAATATTTTTCAAGAAATTAATTTTAAAATTTGTTAACATTTTTTCCATTATATTTACTTTTGGGAATGTTAAATTTTAGCCTATAAAGAAATTGAATTTTAAGTAAAAATAATGACAAAATATTGGGACATCTTGCAAATACAGCATTTTATATTGTTAAGCAATAACCAGCCTTTTAATTTATGTATTTCTGTATACTGTTTGAGGGCTAGGACAAACGTGTTTTAAAAAGGTTCTCAAGAACAAAGTGTGACCAGTGACGTGGGATAGCATCCCACATTTCAGCAGTGCTAGGTGCGAGTACCCAAGAAGGGAAGTGGCACAGGTACCTAGTGAAAGGGGTCTATTTTAGGTACATTTCCTCCCCTACTGTCATACCCTTTCAGATACATACAGAACAGTAATTACATAAACTGCTTTAAGTTTTCCTGATTTTCTTCCTACAATATGTTGAGCTCTGTTAATGGAAAATTTTGTTGTTTAGTAACTTTTATTATTTTGTTTACAAGTATAATACATATTCATTACAACAGTTTGGTAAATTCAGGCAAACAAAAAAGGAAATAGGTAACTATTTGAAATCTATTTCGAGTTAATCAAAATACAGATTTTTAAGTATATAATACCATATTTTAAAAAGTAGATGAAAATGTATCTGGAATTTATTAACCGTATGTACTTTGTCATAAACATTTTTGTATAAAATTGAATATTATTTTACATGATTTTTTAAATGGCTGCATTATATCCATCATATGATGTTCCATAATATATTGCAGTGTTTCCCTCATTGCTGGCTATTTGAGTTTCTAATTTTTTCATCATAAAAAACATATTTAGCTATTACAAACAGCTGCACAAATTTACAGGATTATTGCTTTACAAAAACTTCCTAGAAGTAGAAATGCCTGCAAAGGATTTATGTAGATGTCTATTTTTTGGACATTCTTTTCATTCTTGTCACTTAGCATTCCTTTTTCCTCATATCAACCACTTCTTATTCTCATCAGATCCTTTATAAAAATCTTACCCAGCATCTGTTTTGTTCTCTAAAAAAATCTCTTGAATTGAGTTTTTTTAGAGGACATAATTGCATAATTTAGAGAAGCCTAGAATTTTGCTGTTAGGTTGATGACCAGTGGGAAATACCAGTGGGTCTTTTTCACTGAGTATGAGTGCATTTATGTTATAATTTTTACTATTTTTCATAGTTTCTTACATTTTAATGTGTTTGAAAGTGGCAAGCTTCTAATAGAATGTGAATATTTCTATTTGTTTGACAATCATGTCTTGTTATACATTGAAGCTTATTTTTAAATGCCATGGTATGCAAAGTTGTGAACTTAAAAAAAAGAATCAAAAAGAAGATATTAATTTTTATGTCAGTTTTAGATTTCATCTATTTTAAATATGAATTTTCCAGAATGTATCCTATATCCTAAATTTCTATCTGCTTTATTGTAATTCATGTATTTAGTGCTCTTAATTCAGAGTTTTCTTTAATAGGGTTACATTTATGATACTATTCCTGAGGTCACTCAGTGTGTATTGCATACAAATTTATCATTGTACAAAGTGTTTTTGGAAATCTGGATAACCTTTTATAAATTGTTTGAAATTAGGCTAAGTAAACACTGATAGGATTTAAAATCTGATCTCTAAATGTCTTTGAAGTGAGCTCTAAGATGTAGAAACCTTTCATAAAATTCTCAAATTCTTTTGTCATATATTTTTTTATAGTTTTCATATTCATTAACATGTATTGTTCCTTACCATTTACAGCCCAGAATTCTGCAAATGCAGATTTTGCAAACTTTGATGCATTTGGACAGTCTAGTGGTTCGAGTAATTTTGGAGGTTTCCCCACAGCAAGTCATTCTCCTTTTCAGCCCCAAACTACAGGTAGAGCTTCTCCAGCATTATGCCTAAATGTTTACTTAAAAAAATAGGGTAAAACTCTCTAGATGTAGTTTTGAAAATTACTCTAAACTTAAATTCTATAATTATCTGAATTTACAATACTTCTATCTAGCAAAGCTCTGGGGAAACCTGAAATCTTTATTTTGTTGTGTGTTCATTTGTTTTTCTAAACTCTTTGGTATGTTGTCTAATTCACAGAATTCTCCTTTTCCTGCACATGAATCTTAAACTTCTTATGTAAGGAAGGATTAAAGTACTGAAGTTTTTTAGGTTCAAACAACACATTGTGATTTAGGCTCTAAGTAAAGGAAGCTAATTTATTGCTTCCATAGAACTAAAAGTGGAAGTAATTTTTAGGCAACAATCTTGAAAAATAAATGTTATTAGTCAAGAGTAGGTTATTTAAGGATTGCTTTAATCAAACTGGGAAATCATTTTCTGTGCAAGAATTGGTCTTTAAACATTGAATACTCTTCCATAAACTATATTGTTTTCCAAAACTCATTGAACCCATGTTTAGATCTTTGGCTGATTACTTTGCTTTCAACTTGAATTCTGTGTATTGTCTTAAAGCTTTTTCTTTCAATTTTCTTTTTTTTTCCCCCCTTTAACTTTCATTAACATAATTTCTGGCTATCCAGCATTTAGAATGCTTTCATCTAGCTGCAGTTTTGGTGAATTTACTTCTGCTTTTCCTCTCCAGGCTACCAACAGTAAGTTCTCTAATCAAGTAGGCATCTTTTACTAATTTGTTTTATGCTGTATTTCATGGATTTTTCACTTATAGAATGTTAATCATCTTTTAATAATCTTCATAAATTCTCACTTTTACTTTCCCTTCACTATTCCTCAACTCAACAGAACACAGTAGTATACAATAAGAGAGTTAGTTGATTTAATAATTCCAATTTTAAGTTGAAATAAAATTCTTCATATAAACTTTGAAAGCTTTAGTATTTACTTTGTTCACCAACTACTTATAGAAGATCACAATCATTTAAATATGCACATTACTGAATTTTAATTGGAAACAACCAGAGTTTCAATGCCTGAGAAATTTTATCTGTACATAATGTTTTAGAATGTTTAAAAATCAGATTGATGGAAAGTGTGGTTTTTTTTTGATAGGGGTGTATCCGTTCTGTTTTTAAAATATCTATGTGTGCTTCGTATCACTTTAATATAAAACTACACATAAATTATTTTGATTGCTGAAACTAATGTGTAGGCATAAAGAACTGGTATCAAAAGTTAGGACAAAAGCATAGAATGAAATATATTAGCTTTAGTCTTTGGTAGTACTTTAAAGAAGTCTCTAGATTACAGAATAGACTTTAAAATTTTAGTAGGATATATACCTGTAAGTGAATTATGCTCTATAAAGTAAAAAAATTGCTATAATATTTAAACTATTTTGATATTGTATACTATAATTTTTATTCTTTGAAATATATAAAATAGTTCATGATTTTTTGAGTATACCATGGTGTATGAGTATTAAATTACTATGTGGAATTAAATAATAGCTCTTCAAATAAAATAAGTCTGGAGCTCAAAGATCACCTGTTAAGAAACTCTGGATCAAAATAGTACATCTTAAGAATTTTAAATTTCTATTCCTGGGATTTGTTTCAACCAAGTTATTTTTTAGAAGCTACAAAAACTTGTATTGTCAGATACTTTGCATCTTATTAGCAGGAGGACTAGTAAAAGGTGATAGTATATAGTTGAATGTTGTATATTGTAATGAATCTCAAACCAGGTGAATTATGTCTTTTACTCCAGGGTAGATAATTACACATAGAAATGTGTAACTTCATGTTGCCAGGGCCTTTGGAAAACTAGATTTGCAAATTATAAAAAGTCATATGTAGATGGTTAAAGTTGAATGCGTAGGAATGCAGATTCCTTATAGAATACTTAATTTAAGAAGAAATTGTCATATTACCTACCACAGGATATTGAGAAAAATCTAGATATTTCAAGTGTGCTGTTTATTCTATTACAGGGGGAAGTGCTGGATCAGTAAATGCTAATTTTGCTCATTTTGATAACTTCCCCAAATCCTCCAGTGCTGATTTTGGAACCTTCAGTACTTCCCAGAGTCATCAAACAGCAACAACTGTTAGTAAAGTTGCAACAAATAAAGCTGGTCTTCAGGCTGCAGACAAATATGCAGCACTTGCTAATTTAGACAATATCTTCAGTGCTGGACAAGGTAATCAAACTTTAAATAAAAATTTCTATATTAAACAGTCCTTTACATTCGGTTGTATTTATTAAAATCTAAGGATGCTATGCTTTTCTTAGTGGGTGGTTAGAAATTTCGTTTACACTAAATTTCATGACTTTTAGGATCTGAAATATCAACTACAAAACTGAAGTCATAGAAACTAATTTGTTTACTTCTGGTTTTAAAAGAAAGTAATTGACAGAAATTTAATTTTGTCTTAGAAAGCCTGCTTTACTGTTCTATGGCTATACAAGGTTAAGAATCTTACACATAGAACTGACTGGAAGGCTATTTGGTGGTTTCTATAATATATTTATTTTGAATGACTTTCTATTAATATCTTCGTAATTTTTTAAAATGATTTTTACAGTATATTCTTATGCCTAGTTTGGTCTTGAAGGCCAGTATTTTGCCTCTCAAAGTGCATAGTACAGTGGTGAAGAGCAAGGGTATGCTTTCAGGCTGCAGGGCCTACTTTTTCATCTCCATAATGAGGATAGTAAATAGCATTGAACTCATGGGGTTGTGTTATTACATGTAAGGCATTTACAACAGTGTTTGGCACATAGTAAGTATGCAGTAAGTATTTGTTCTCATTACTATCTATTTTTTATTATGGACAACCCTGGGAAAATATTAATTGATCACATCAGGGTCCTATATTTTATGAATTTATATGTTTACTTGAATGCAATACACCTGTATCAGAGATGTTAAATAACACTTTTTGAGAATTTCTTCTTTATGCACACTCTAAACCTGTTACTGGCACAGAGTCTTAGTTTTTTGTTATAGAAGCAGTATTCTGTCTTTTCCACAGCAGTATATGTTGCAACTAATCTTGTCCAATATTTTCTACATTATTAGATATGATTCTGGAATCCTATTTATTTGCTTAGCTCCAAATCAGTTGTAAATTTACATGTGTTGCATGGGAAATTTGGTTGATAAATTGGAAGTATACCTTTAAGTTTTGGGGATAATTTATTTGTTCACAGGTGGTGATCAGGGGAGTGGCTTTGGGACCGCAGGTAAAGCTCCTGTTAGTTCTGTGGTTTCACTTCCCAGTCAGTCAAGTGCGTCTTCAGACAAGTATGCAGCTCTGGCAGAACTAGACAGCGTTTTCAGCTCTGCAGCCACCTCCAATAATGCGTACACTTCCACAAGTAATGCCAGCAGGTACCTTGTCTTTGTGTTCCTGCTTTGTGTTTAAATCTTTTTTCAACTCTGAATAATAATGTTGTTAAATAATGACTAGGGCATAATTTTAAAATTATTGAATATTTTTATAAATTTGAGGAAACAGTTTAATTTGCTAATTAAAATATAATCCTTGATTAACTGCCCAATTCTATTTTTTCATTTAATCAAAAGTTTTATTTTCTTGAACACCAAAATGTAACTAAGAGTATGTACACATCTCAAAATGGACAGCTATCTACAGATTTAATTATACTCAGCAGAGAATTCATTTCGGAAATTATATACTTTTAAGGTACAGTTTTTAGTCATGAAGACTAAATACTGAAAGTAACATTTTATAGCCTTAGTTGTAAATACACATTTTTAGAAATGTTTGCACCAGAACAGAACACTAATTCTATATCTCTTCAGTGTCATATTGGTATTTATGAATAGACATATCTATTATTGTGTTCAAATATATCTGGCATAAAGGAATTCTTTGTAGCAGGAAGTCTGACACATTTTAACAACATTAGATCGTTAAAAGCTCTAATCAAGAAGCAGTTTTGACTTCTTGATTTTAGAGTTAAGTTATACAGAAATACAGGTGACTTACATATACATTGTTTTATTCATCTCTGTTTTTCTAATTATTATTTTAATCCTCACCCGAGGACATGTTTTTTTTAAAAGAAAATTGATTTTAGAGGGAGAGATGGAGAGAAACATCATGTGCAATTGAAACATCTATTAGTTGCCTCCCACATGTGCCCCAACTGGGAATCAAACCTGCAAAAGGTGTAGGGGATGGTGCTCCAACCAGCAGAGCCACCGGCGAGGGCTTATGAACATTCTTGAAGAAATGTCAACAAATTAATTTTATTAAATTTTGATCCTTAAACATGTCTATTTTCTGTTTGTGGAAGTAAAGTATGCATCAGGTAGGTCTGCTGCTCATTGAGGTATGATGGCTGTCTTGTTTGGTTGTTGTGGGATGAACCAGCCACTTGTTTTCTGAAACACCGTTTTTCCTTGGAAGATAACTGGTAGGCAAACCAAGATTATTCAGATTTGGATATTTGACAATATTTTCTAAAAAATAGAGTATTTAAACCTGTCATTTTATGAAAATAACTGATAATAATCACACATTAAATCAAATATTAGAATTTTGGAAAATTTCTTAACTCTACCATGAGCATGACAGACAGCTTTTCATTACCTTTCTGATGAGTGATGTGTTTTATTTTTTTATTTTGCATAAGGAAATGTGTTGACATTTGGAAGATTGGCATCAAGTATTTTCCAGATGATAGGACATCAGTAAAAATTCATTTAAAGTGCAAGATAGACTAATGAATGTTAACTTTAATCCAGCAAAAAACAGTTCACTGATAAGGTTTCAAATTCCATATTGAAACCAACCTTTAGGAATTGTCACTATTTTTGGTATGATAACAAAGAAAATATCCACAACTAGAGGCCTGGTGCACGAAATTCGTACACTGGGCAGGGGGTGTCCCTCAGCCTGGCCTGTGCCCTCTCACAGTCCAGGACCCCTTGGGGGATGTCCGCCTGCCAGTAGTCAGACATCCCTCTCGCAGTCCGGGACCCCTCACTCCTTACTGCCCGCCTGCAGCGGAGGCAGGAGAGGTTCCTGTCACCGCCACTGTGCTCACCAGCTGTGAGCCCGGCTTCTGGCTGAGCAACGCCTCCCCTGTGGGAGCGCACTGACCACCAGCGGGCAGCTCCTGCTTTGAGCCTCTGCCCCCTAGTGGTTAGTGTGCATCATAGCGACTGGCCGTTCTGCCGTTCGCTCGATTTGCATATTAGCCTTTTATTATATAGGATTATCTGAAAAAGCTATTAAAATGCTCCTTTGTTCAACTATGTATCTATGTGAGGCCAGTTTTGTGTTTGTTTTTTTTTTTATATATATACATCAACCTAAACAACATGTCACAGCTGATCTTCTGTTAAGTCAGCTACTAAAGGGATTTGCAAAAATATCAAACATTGTTACTGTTCTCATTAAGTTTTTTTATTTCAGAAAATATCCTATATAATAAAGAGCTAATATGCTAATTAGCCCAGATGGTGGAAAGACCTCTGGAACCACCAGTGGGCCAGGGGGTGGGGCCACGAGGTAGCCAGGGCTGCGAAGGCCTACTCTTGCACAAATTTCATGCATCAGGCCTCTAGTACTTATCATAAAGTGCTATTTATTTGTTAGCATGTAATAATGGCTTTATTGTTATTTTCAAATAAAAAATATTTTAAATTTGTTTTAATTTTTGTATTCTATGCATATTGATAAATAGAGCACACTGAAGCAAAGGTTCTTTGGGGTTCTCAGTAATTTTTCAGAATATAAATGAGCCATGAGACCTAAAGTTTGAGTACTTCTGTGATACATTGTATGTTTATAATGATCAGTTTTCACATATTTATGGCCACCCTATAGATAGAATATGCTTGCTTTTTTTTAACAATTAGAACTCTTTTAATACTTGTTTTCAGCAATGTTTTTGGGACAATGCCAGTGGGTGCTTCTGCACAGACACAGCCTGCTTCTTCAAGTGTGCCTGCTCCATTTGGAGGTAGGTGTTTCTGGTAGTCGCCCCTTATGTGTGGAAGATACATTCCAAGACACTCAGTGGATGTCTGAAACAGTAGATGGTACCAACCCCCATATTTACTATATTCTTCCTGTACATACATACCTATGATGAAATAAAGTTTAATTTATAAAATTTGGCTATGGACCATACAATTTTTTTTTTGGTTTTCTTATTAAGTTGAGAACTTTCACCTTTTCACTTAAAGGAAGCACTTTACAGCTTCTCTTTGGCATATATGAATTGCCAGCATCACTACTCTTGCGCTTTGGGGCCATTAATAAGTAAAAATCGAGCAGGGTGGAGAGAGATTTCATCATGTTACTCAGATTAGAGCATAATTTAGAACTTGTCAGTTGTTTATTTCTGGAATTTTCCACTTAATATTTTTGGGCTGCCATTAACTGTTGGTAACTGAAGCCATGGAAAGTGGAGTCATGGATAAGGGGGGAGGAATAATGCGGACACTCTATAGAGCCCAAATGTATATTGTATAGCATTTTCAGGGGAACCAGATGACAGAGCAACAGTTTATTATTAGGAAGCTCTAGTTTTCTATCTTCATAAATATATTATATTTTTATATATTTTAGTATAAATGTATTATGATTTTATAGTGTACTTTATAATATTTTAAAGCTACGCCTTCCACAAATCCATTTGTGGCTGCTGCTGGTCCTTCTGTGGCATCTTCTACAAATCCATTTCAGACCAATGCCAGAGGAACAACAGGTAAGAAATATAAATTATGGAACAGCAAGTTTTGGAAAAGGTATTTATTGCAGAGAAACCATGTGAACAAACTAGAAAAATAAGGATTCTTTCTTACTGAAATGAGTGGTTAGTGGATGGGAGAGTTTGTTCCTAAAGACAAACACTTGCTGAAAGTTTATAAAATCCTGGAACTTAATGCATATTTGAGAAGGACCTTAGAAGTTAACTAGTGCCTACCATGCTCGGTCACAGCTTTCATTTTCAGGGAGGATGCCCAAGTATGGAGATGAGACTTCTTTGAACCACACAGCCAATTTTGTAGAGATCGGACTTGTACACAGTAATTCTGACTTACTGGGGTGGTCTGCTTTCAGAATTACTGGATATGACTCATTCAACCATAGCAGAAAACATGTATAAGAAGGTTTTTTGCCTTGTTTCTGCCTTGACATGAGATTGCAAGGGCCGAATGGGCTTTATTACATGAGATCTTAAGATCAGGTCTTTTTCTAGTGCATATCTCTTTTAGGATGTTAACATTTTAAAAATTGTGGGAACCTGATTTTATTTTGGGTATAATGTTTGAGTATTTTCTCAATTGCTGCTTCCCCAAATTTAATTGTTAAGTATGCTCATTTAAAATGAATGGACATATATTTTAGAAATAATTCCACCCCAGATGGTTAAAAAAACACAAAAAGGTTCTATTACGTAACCTAACTTTGTTTTTTATTAATTAGATTTATTTATATGTAGCCTCTCTGATCTCAGTCATGCCAGGTGGGAAAACACAAGATGCTTTTTTTAAAAAATATATATATTTTATTGATTTTTTACAGAGAGGAAGGGAGAGAGATAGAGTTAGAAACATCAATGAGAGAGAAACATCGATCAGCTGCCTCCTGCACATCTCCTACTGGGGATACGCCCACAACCAAGGTACATGCCCTTGACCGGAATCGAACCTGGGACCTTTCAGTCCGCAGGCCGACGCTCTATCCACTGAGCCAAACCGGTTTCGGCAAGATGCTTTTTTCTTATTCTGTCTTTTCAGCTATTGTATTTTAACTGAGAGTGCCAATCACCTTCTAATGAACTACAGTGAATAATTTTCCCCTTGTAGTACTCAGTTTACTTGAGTTACCTTTAAGTATTTCTAGTTAATGTAAAAAGTTGTAAATAAAAATCAAGTATTATCCAGGTGCTCTCTCCAAAGTTTGACTTTGCAGAAGCTAGGTCATTTTAGATGATCCTGTAAATTGCATTTTTGGGTGTGACTCATGAGGCCTACAAGTCTTTATGGATATAATTATATCTTCACATGAAAAAAAAGTGCTTATTTAAAATGATGGATTTCATAAAGGTTTCTTCATTTGGTATTATCTAATCTCCCCTTTATTGCAAACAGTGTAAATATTACAGTGTCATGAATATAGTTCAAATAAACTGGATGTGTTTTATCACGTATTATGCTACCTACTTTGTAAGAGTACATTCTAATTTTAGAACTTTTAATGAAACAAATTTACTTTTATTTTAACAATAGTTACCATTAAGTTAATGACATTGGTCTCTTTATGGCTTTCCATAAGGCCTTTCTGGAGCAATGCATTCTCAAGTGTTTCCTCACGCTCATTTTGGTAGGTGGCCACAACTAATGTCTAGATTTCTGTGGCAGTTTGTCTGCCTGCTTGTGGAAGCTTCTGCTAGTGTTCTGGATCCCTGCATGTGGAATTAAGTTCTTCCATGTTTTAAAATGGAGTGGGCATGAATGTGTGGCATTGGGACTGCATTATATTTAAAATTACATGGAAATCTTCTGTAGTGATTTATGTTTTAATGCTGAAAAGCATTATTGCTTACCTCCATGGTCATATTAGAATGTCACAGCTTTTTCAATTGTTTTTCTTGAGTTTGAATTTATAGTAGTTTGAGTGACACCTTTTTGATATACCAAACCATTTTACCACATTATTCCATGGAGTTTGGTTTTGTTTAACTGTGCCCTAAGTTCTGCTTTTTAGTGCTTTTTAAAAAATGATTTGTCTAAGTTATGTCAGTGCATTGTCTGTTATGAAACCCTCCTGTTTCCTCGCAGTATGCTTATTATTCTTTATTCACTTGCTTCCCAGTGGCTGTTTCCCTTCTTTTTCTCCTTAATAATGAGAAAATAATTTAAAATTTTTTTACATTCTAATTAGGTTCATTGAGGATCATTGTTACAAACATTAGGATTATGAGGATTACTTTGGACAACATCTATAACATTTTTTTAGTTTTTTTAAAAGAATTTTTTGTAACATTTTTAGTATTTCTGTGCTTAAAATCAACAATTGAGTAAAATTTTTAAATCAGGAAATTAAATGAGTTATGTTTTTGATAGCATCACTTAAAACTATTTCACTATATAATTACTACTATTCTGTATTAAAAGCAACATTATTGGCTCTTAGTTCACTGAGGCCTTCCCTAGAACACTTAATCTTCTCTAACAATAGTGATACACTGTTCTGCTACTACCTGTGTTTCAGTAATGTGAATTATTTCTTGAGTTAATTCTTCAATGGGAAATGATGGCAGCATGCCACATATGTAGTGGTAGTTCACACAGATTTCCCCAACCTGTGACTGCTCTGTTCCACAGAGTTAATAGTGGCTAGATGTGGCAAGCCTTGGAGGAGCACAGTGTTCATTTACACTGTGTGCTTTGTCTCTTCTAATAATGCTTAGTTCACGTCCTTTTCCATCTTTGTACATTTTGCCCTAATTTTTATAACTTAGCAGTCCTAACCTTCCTTAACCCTTTATCCAGAGCACTCTTTATTTACCATCCAGAAAAGGAATGTGGGAGTCCATATATTTCTTTTGGAATTGATTTATTAGGAGTGTAACATGTCCCTTTAATTGTGTTAGTGTTTTTATTAAGATTCCCCTCCCCCATTTGGCTCTGGTTACAACACTGCATAGGTTTAGCGTGGCCTGCATCTGACTCCTATAAGTTTTGTTATTTTTGCTGAGCTACTTAGCACAGGTTCTAAAATTTTTTCCAGGAATTCACATATTATGTTATAGTACACAGTTCAATAGTTAAAATTAAATATTGGGCTATTTTACTATATATAGCAAAACAAAATGAAAAACAATAAAAAAAAATACTAGTATGTATACATGTGAATTGCCATGATGATGGGCTTTAAAAAGTAGATTGCTGTTTAGAGTTGAATTTTATTAATATACTTTGAGAAATTTTTCTTCGTTAGTTTTATTCTGGTTTTTGGGTTTTAGGAAAATAAATTTTATAGGTTGTAATACTGTATAGTGCTAAAACTTAACTGACTTTGTTGAGTTTTGAAATTTAGAATGCCTTTAATGTACATCTTAATATTTTTCAAGGTAAATGATATCTCTTCTATAATGTTGAATATGAGAAACGAAATGTGCCCTTTTAAATGTAAGTGATCAGCCCTTTTCTTCTCCTGTCAGCGGCGACCTTTGGCACCGCATCCATGAGCATGCCTGCGGGCTTTGGGACGCCTGCGCCCTATAGTCTTCCCACCAGCTTCAGTGGCAGCTTCCAGCAGCCTGCCTTTCCAGCCCAAGCAGCTTTCCCTCAACAGACAGCTTTTTCTCAACAGCCCAATGGTAAGATCTGACATTTATTTGTAAGTCCACTGTAGGTCTCTTGTCCTGTATAATAAAAGCCTAATATGGTAAGTGTCCAGCCATTCAGTCATCCGTTCAACTAATCAAAGCGTAATATGCTAATGATATGCTAAGGCCGCTCAACCGCTCACTATGATGTGCACTGACCACCAGGGGCAGATGCTCTGACTGGTAGGTTAGCTTGCTGCTGGGGTCCGGCCAATCGGGACTGAGTGAGACAGGCTGGACACGCCCTGGAACCCTCCCATGGTCTCTCCCCAGTTGGCCAACCTCCCGCATCCCTCCCCAGCCCCGATCATGCACCAGTGGGGTCCCTTGGCCTGGCCTGCGCCCTCTTGCAATCCAGGACCGCTCAGGGGATGTCGGGGAGCCGGTTTCAGCCCGATGCCGCTGACCAGACCAAGGGACCCCACTGGGACCTCTCATATGTCATAATGTTATGTGTTTGGACAAAAGAACTTAACTGAAGAATGTTGTAGTATGGTCTACTGAATGTGTATTTGGGCCTCAGAAAATTGACAAGTAAGTTTTTGTGACTAGATTATAGATGTAGGAGAAATCAGAGACTCTAAGGCAGCGGTTCTCAACCTGTGGGTCGCAACCCCTTTGGGGGGCGTCGAATGACCCTTTCACAGGGGTCACCTAAGACCATCGGAAAACACATATATAATTACATATTGTTTTTGTGATTAATCACTATGCTTTAATTATGTTCAATTTGTAACAATGAAATTGGGGGTCACCACAACGTGAGGAACTGTATTAAAGGGTCACGGCATTCGGAAGGTTGAGAACCACTGCTCTAAGGAGTCCCCAGTGTCTTTCTTATTCATTTATCTGTGTTCTAATACATCTCTTGATTTTAAAAAGAAACTTTTAAGGACATAGAGTGATTTTTTTAAATGTATTTTTATTGATTTCAGAGAAGAAGGGAAAGGGAGAGAGAGAGAAATATCAATGATGAGAGAGAATCAGTGATCAGCTGCCTCCTGCACACTCCCAACTAGGGATGGAGCCCACAACCTGGGCATGTGCCCTTGGCCGGAATCGAACCTGGGACCCTTCAGTCCGCAGGCCAACACTCTATCCACTGAGCCAAACCTGCTAGGGCTAGAGTGTTGTTGTTTTTTGTTTTGTTTTGTTTTTTTTCAAATATTTTTATTGATTTTAGAGAAGAGAGAGGAGGGGAGAGAAACATTAATGATGAGTGAGGCTCATTGATTGGCTGCCTCCTGCACCCCCACACTGGGATCAAGCTCACACCCCAGGCTTGTGCCCTGACCAGGAATTGAACCATGACCTCCTGGTTCATAGGTCGATGCTCAACCACTGAGCCATGCTGGCTGGGCTAGAGTGTTTTTTTTTTAAATTTAAATTCTTTATTGTTTAATGTATTACATAAGTCTCCTTTTTCCCCCATTGACCTCTCCCCGGCCACCCCAACCCCCAGCACATGCCCTAAACCTCCCCCCCACCCCTCCTCCGGTCTGTGTCCATTGGTTATGCTCATATGCAAGCATACAAGTCCTTTGGTTGATCTCTGAGTGTTTTTGTTTTGTATCAGAAAACTGTGCCATTTTGTTTAAGGTTTTTTTGGTGGGTGGTGGTGACAATAGACTGATAAATAGGCAACAATATATATTATGGTTAGAAATTGTTACTTGTTCTCAGGAAAATTCACTAGAGACTAGTTTGTGTGGTTCTCACCCCGCCCCACCCTACCCTCCCACCCCAGATTTTGTTTATGGCTAAAATTTGAATTCCATAGATTCAGAGATTATCCTAGAATTATGGATGTTCTTTTCTAAAGTTGTGCTTAACTAAAAATTTGGAAATAGGGTCTGTGACAGCCATAATGATGAAATGTTTCCTAAGGAATACTATGATGTCCACATAGAAACTGTTGTGTGGTCTTACAGCCCCTCTCAAATAGTCACCACCAGATCATCTATTTATTAAATCCTTTGAATGTCAGTAGTTTACGTAGCTGAGACAAATTGGAATGAACTATTTCGGGGGACTATATAAAAGCTCCTTAAGACATGGCACAGGAAGTTTATTTCTGGTTTTGAAAGAGCATAAGACGTAACAATTTAACATTGATATTTTATTGTTGTTCTGGTAGCAGTTTCTCTGAAACGCATTATGAGGCTTTAATAAACAACAGATTGTCTCTCAAAGGTAGAATGGGTTATAATTGGTGGTTCTGTTTTAACAAGGTGCAGGTTTTGCAGCATTTGGACAAACAAAGCCAATGGTAACCCCTTTTGGTCAAGTTGCAGCTGCTGGAGTATCTAGTAATCCTTTTATGGTAAGTGAGGTGCAGTTTTAAGCACTTTGTAAGTTGTTGTGTGTTATTTTCAAATTAGGAAAAGCAGGATGTGTCTCCTCCTGGATGCTGTTTGCTACTGTACTGATAAGACATTGCAGGAGTGTACACATTGAGGGAGCCACTATGCAAGATTCCTTTGTGACACAAAAAACCACATTAATCATTTGAAATCAAAGAATTGACAGTAAATAAGCTATTTTATAACATGAAATTTGTCTGCTTTCTTGCAAAAGGAACACTTTATGAGCAGCTATAGACATAGTAAACATTGTGGAAAGGGGTCTTGGAGTCAGATTTAGTTTGAATCATAAATGCATTTTTTAGAGTCAAGTCCTTTTTTGAGAATTATATGAAATAATTATATACAAGGCACAACACAGTGCCTAATACCTAATCTTTTTATTATAGTATGTTGCTAATAACAATAGTAATAAATTTGATTGCCAATAATTAAACCTAATCTAAATACTCTTAATATTTTCATCACACACCACTTTTGTCTGTTTGTTTATTTTGTCTTATGTTTTCCTTTAGACTGGTGCACCGACAGGACAATTTCCAACAGGAAGCTCATCAACCAATCCTTTCTTATAGCCTTATATAGACATTTTACTGGAAAGAACTTTTACATGGTCACATTACATCTCTCCGCCTCTTGCACTGTTGTCTTGTTTCACTGATCTTAGCTTTAAACACAAGAGAAGTCTTTAAAAAGCCTGCATTGTGTATTAAACACCAGGTAATATGTGCAAAACAGAGGGCTCCAGTAACAACTTTTAACCTGTGAATTGGCAGAAAAAGGTAGCGGTATCATGTATATTAAAAATTGGCTAATATTAAGTTATTGCAGATACCACATTCATTATGCTGCAGTACTGTACATATTTTTCTTAGAAATTAGCTATTTGTGCATATCAGTATTTGTAACTTTTAACACATTGTTATGTGGAAAATGTTACTGGGAAAATAGATCAGCCACTTTCAAGGTGCTGTCATGTATCTCGGAATGAATGACCTGAAATCATTTTAACCATTGCTACTGGAAAGTTACAAAGTCAGAAGTGGAAGGTTTTATTCAGTCTTGGATTTTTCCCTCCTAAAGAGCTCTTCTATTTATACATGCCTAAATTCTTTAAAAATGTAGAAGGATACCTGTCTGCATAATAAAGCTGATCATGTTTTGCTACAGTTTGCAGGTGAAAAAAATAAATATTAGAAAATATGCTATTGTTTTTGTGTTCTTGCTGCAATGCCTTTACCAAAGTGGCCTTAAATGTGAGTAGTGAATTGAGAACATCTTGAATTCTTAAATTAGGATTTCAGAAGACTTCTAGTGACTAACTTTTATGTCTAAAAGAGAAAATTTTATAAAAAGGCCATGTAGAAAATGTATTAAAACTACTATGACTGCTATATTCATGAATATGTCAGTGGTAAAGCATTTACATGTAGCTTGTCAGATTCACCATAATCCTTCTAATTTCTTTGCAACTTCTTAATTTTGTGAAATTTGTAAATATGAAGAATTTGCATGTATGTGTATTTACAAATTTTTTAAAGTATCTTGAATTCTCAGACTTCAAAAGGCCTATTTTAAATATTGATTTTAAAAATACTGTCTTTGAATGTATTGGAAGCAGACATGCATTAACTGTGACATGATTGCACCTCAGATTTGTTTTCTGTTTAGACAAACTGATATTATTAATAGGACATTTGTTTATGTTCATCTCGGGGGGGGGGGCGGGGGTAAAGAAACTGGAACCCAGTGTTACCTTGAAGTTATAGAATACTTTGTTTAAAAGGGCAGTGATACTAATATTTAGTTATATCTTTTTGTTAATATTCAAATTAACTTGTTTAAATATTTATGTGCAGCAATGCCTCATTCATCCAGAGATAATCTGGCAGTCTCATCAAAACAACACAACTGGGAAACTTGGAATCATCTTTTTTTTTTTTTGTTTAATGCCTTTGAGCAACCTACTTAAGTCATGAAGTCTTTACTGATTATTTGGTTTCCCAGCCCATAGCAAATTAGCAGTTCAGAGGTTGTGGCTCGAAAGGAAGGAGATAGAAAAAACTATGAAGAGTATACGCTTGAAGACTATTTAGTGTAGGGGCAGCCAGCCCAGCCTAGATCACTAAATCACATCATCTTCTAATAATTGTCTATTTTGCTGACTCTGTGTCATCAAGATAAGCTGAAATTACATATACAAATGGGTAGCATGTGTTTATAATGTTTTATCTTATAATGATTAGACATTTTTTAAAAAGCTTTGGTATTAAAAGAGGTGAACGTCTGTTTCCTCAAACATTTTATTCATGTTGAATACCTTTTTCAGTGGTGGCTACATGAGTTATCCTACTATCCTCAAGCTGTGTAGTGTTTTAGACTTGTTAAAACATTGCTGTTTGTTGCATATCTAGCTGAATGTGTGGTTTTCCTGACCCATTTGATAAGAAGACTGGGAGATCTCTGCCCCTTTTCTGAGCAGTATGCCTCTTCTTTTAGAATTAAATGAATGCTGCAACAGTTGTGGTGTGTGTTGGTGTATACTTGAAATGTCTCTACATTTGTGGGGTCTCCACCCTATTTTTCATGGAGGGAACACTAAAGAAATGTCTTTGAATGTCTGTATTTTAGATTGTATTGGGTCCCAATCAATCCACATGTACAAAGTTATAATATATAATTGTAGGCATTACCCAAATAACCTTCCAGCTTTCCATCTAAGAAATAAGTAAATTAAACTGTTATTATGAAAATAATTTTAAAGACTATTTCTTCTGAGTAAATTTTGAATTTTGTAATTAAATGGGAACTCTTAATGACTTATTTGAAATGAGTGCTTATAAAATTAAATATGTAGTTTAAGAAGTCCAGAGTTATAGTAGATTTAAATCAACTTCAGTTAGACTTTCCTATTCAGGTTTGCATCTGCTTTTCGATAGACCATCAGAATTGTCTCTACATTTGTGGGGTCTCCCTCCAGGCCCTTTTTCATGGAGGGAACACACAGAACTGAAGAGAAAATTCTCGAGGTGACAAGGCTGAAGACCTTCGTGTTTCCTGGCTTCTGGTTGAATCAGATCTTTTTCTCCTATCTTTACTCAGGAAAGAAAATTTTCTTTTCTTTTAGGGTGGAGAACTTTGTTACATTTAAAGGCATGCTGTATTTTCATTTTTGTGAAAAATAGAGGTAATTACTTTCTTTGTTCAAATAATTCCTCTAAAGTTGAAGGAGCATATCAGTGGTTTACCTGTGAGTTATCCCTCCCCCCAGTGCACACTGTCTTTGCTACATACAGTTCCTGGAAATTGGTAAAATGAATGTTTTTGTACCATTTCCCCAACAGTTTTGAGAAACTGGGTCTCAGGACCATAATCCCCAAAGAGCTTTTGTTTATATAACATGTGTTGGTCAGAATTTACTGTATTAGAAATTAATACTAAGTCACTTAAGAACTATGTTTATTTAAATATAACAATAAATCCATTACATGTTAACAAATACCATTTTTATAAAAATAAGTGTTATCCAAAAACAATGAGAACATTCTGTTTTGCTTGTCTTTTAAATATCTGGACCAAGAGAAGCAGCAGAGTCTCATTGTGATTCTTTTTCTATCATGTGGCATGTGGACGCTGGAAAACTCCACTGTGAACTTGCAAGATCATGGGTGAAGCAGAGATACAACATTTTGGTACTGTTATGAAAATAGTTTGGATCTTGTGTTCTGGGACCCTCAAGGCTCCTCAGACCAGTCTTTGAAAACCACCGCACTAGACTTCAAATGTGTATATTTTTGGAACAGCAGCATTTTGTTGTATGCATAGTGCTCCCTGAACTTCTATGTTTTTTTTTACTTAGTTGGTGGGAAAAATGAAAATTCCTGTTGAAGTTGCAAATGTTAAGGCCGACTGGTGTTGCTCAGTGATTGAGCATCAGGAGTTCACTACTGTTTGATTCCCAGTCAGGGCACATGCCCAGGTTGCAGGCTCAATCCCCAGTAGGGGGCCTGCAGGAGGCAGCCAATCAATGATTCTCTTATTGGTGTTTCTCCCTTCCTCTCTGAAATCAAGAAAATATATTTTAAAAAGTGCTATCATGCTTATGTGTAAGATTTTAAAAAATATTTCCCAATCCTGAAAGAGTTTGCATATCCTATATATCTAATAAAAATTTAATTTGGGTTCCATTTAAGTTGATAAAATCAGTACAGTTTATTCTTGAAGGGCTTAAGTTTACAAGTTAATTAATAGGGTAATTAGTGGAGCATGTTTTAAACTAAAGAGCTCTTTAAAGTATAATTTGTGAAAATTTTATTGAGTTTATTCCCCGGTTTTTAAATTTGTAAAATATGTTATTCACATTTGTATTAAGTTAGCCTATTGCATTGAATGCATCCTCATTAGTTAAAATTTTCTTTGTATATTTTTAAATGTTATAATGTCAATAAAATTTTTATGTGATGTATTTGGACAAGCAAGTATATGGCCAAGATGTAATGAATGTTTTACTGGTGAATATTTAGCAACTGCTTCTGATGGAAACGTGCCCTGTTTTGTAGTGTTGACTGATTGATACTTGTGGTATAAATATTGTTGCCATGGCTGATTAAACTTGGAGAAAGATATAATATACTAGCAGCTCTCCTAAGCTTTTGCAAGCCAACACTAGCACACACTGACATATAATTCCACAACTCAGTCATTACATTTATTGGTTATTTGCTGATTGTATCCAATATTTGAAGAGTCTTGTATTGTTCAGCAAGATTTGGACACTAATTCATTTCTAGAAGCAAACTGGGTCTGAGGTATTTAATCTAAAAATAAATATTGTGAAACCCTTATTTTAAAACCCTGGTTTTAAAAAGTCCAGTTATTGTGCTGCAGGGGTTGTACATTCATGGCATATACTCTGAATTCTGTCTACATTTGTGTTTTGTTCAACAGTTTAAAAACTTGTATTTTGAATAGTTTTAAGGGAAGATGTGCTCTTAAGTTGGCCACTAGCCTACCACTCCCAGCTTTCTTAGGCTCAAACATTCAAACATTCAAATGAATTTTAAGGCTATTCAATTGCAAATCCAACTTGACATAAAAGGGCTCTTATACTTCCTCTTATTCTGATTTTGGGGTCAGTCCTTAGTATTTGAATTTATGATATTTTCCAGTGAAGGCTTTTGCCAATAATACATTTTCTTTCAAACCTGGTAATCTCTGTGCATTCTGCTTATTTTATGCCAATGGATAAGAATTTAACATATCTTGAAATAAATTTTTGAAATCTGCTTGTCCAACTCACAGGACTTTTGGAGTTGAATTGACAAAAGGATGTTATTGGGGATTTCATGTAAAGGAAAAGTGATCTTTGGTAAAATACTTCAGTTGGGAATTTAAATGCCCATTGGGTTTGTTTGTTTTTAATTGATTCTTTGGAATTTTGAGTAGATGTTACCCAAGTTGTAGTTTAAGCAATATTTAAATAAATTCTCAACGTTCCCCCTCAATCTTGAGGGACAGAGGAAGCAGACACCAAAGAGCCTTCTAATTTTCACTAAATATTAAGTAAAAGCAAAGGGTTGTAAACTGTTTCATAGGAGACCATGGGTACAATCAGGCTTTTTAAATACTTTGTTTTTTTAATATTAAAATAACACATGCTTACGATTTTTAAAAATCATGCAATATACAAAGGGTATGAAGTCAAAAAGTGTCTCCTTCCTGTGGTCTTACTCCCATACCTCCGAGGAATATTTTGTCTTGTATAGTCGTTTAGAAATGTTATTTAATACTGATGTATACACATATATGCCTCTTGTCCCCCCCCCCCCTTACTTTAGATGTACGATTTTGTATATTGGTTCTTTTTAACTTGGTTATCTTTATTATCACATCCAGTTCTAACTCATTATTTTAATGGCTCCAAGATTTCATTATGTGGATGTTCCTTTTGAAGAACATTTGTTTATAGATTTTTGTACTAAAAACATTGTTACAATGTGAGTATCTTTGTGTATAATATATATGAAGATTAGTCTGGATTCTGCCTGATGGGAAACTCAATAAAATAGACATTCTATTTTTAGGCTCACCAGCTGTTTAAGTATGAATTTGCACTTCCACTTAGGAAATTTTCATCCGAAGAAGAAAAAAAATCACTCAAATCAAGTACCTTAAAATATTTGGAAAAATCCTATGCTTTCTGGCATTTAGTCAGTCACATTTGTTTTGCATGCTGATTTTGCCATTGCTCCTACCCATGACTCTTGGAGTTTCTAAACGTACACTTTGGGGCTCTGCTTACTACCTGTTGGTATAGTGCCTTATCTATGTCATCTTACAATATATCATATTTTTAAAAAATATTTTTAATTGATTTCAGAGAGAGGAAGGGAGAAAGAGAAACATCAATGATGAGAATCATTAATCAGCTGCCTCCTGCACACCCCACACTGGGTATCAAGCCCAAAACCACAAGTATGTGTCCTGACTGAGCATTGAACCGTGACCACCTGGTTCATAGGTCGACACTCAACCACTGAGCCAAATGGGGCCAGGCAGAATATACCATATTTTTAAGAAGAAAAATACAAATTTACTGTGCCAAAATAATGGCACAACTACATGTTTTATTATTTCTTCAAAATTAATTCTCTTTGCCTTAGAAAAGACATAAAAACAAAAAAGTTTCAGAGAGTTTCTCTAAATATATTTACCATTAGTCCAGGACAGGGTTTGCTTCCTGGAGTAATTTGTTTATGAGGAATAATATCAGCCCTAATTATTAGTAGAAAAGATATCTTAGCACATGAAGTCTAGGAATCAGGAACCAGAGAACTTTATGAGTAGTCAGAGGAAGAATGAGGCACTTTTAGTCAGCAGTGTATGTCTTGGAAGTTGTATTAATCTGCCAAGATTTATGAAGACCAGTCTTGATGCAGGAGCACTTCATACAATTGATGTCATTTAATGGCTACAACAACACTACTGCTTCCAGGCAGTATTTGTCACAGGGAAATTGACATTTAGTGTTTAGTTGGCCAAGATTATTCAGCCATGTGGCGAGTAGACTTACGGCTGACTTTGAAGTTTCTCATTTATATTGTACTAAAGGCCTGATGTATGAAAATTTGTGCAAGAGTAGGCCTTCCTTCCCCCTGGCTGCCAGCACTGGCTTCCCTCTGGCACCCAGGACCCATCCTGGCTTCCCTCAGGCTGCCCGCAGGCACCCAGTTCCCGGCTGGCTTCCCTCTGGCCCCGGCTTCATCAGGAAGGACGTCCGGAATGACATCTAGAAGATGTCCGGTCTAATTAGCATATTACCCTTTTATTATAGACTAGAGCAGGGGTGGGCAAACTTTTTGACTCGAGGGCCACAATGGGTTCTTAAACTGGACCGGAGGGCCGGAACAAAAGCATGGATGGAGTGTTTGTGTGAACTAATATAAATTCAAAATAAACATCATTACATAAAAGGGTACGGTCTTTTTTTTTTTTTTTAGGTTTATTCATTTCAAACGGGCCGG